CACACACACACACACACACACACACACACACCAAACACACACAATTCAATTTCAATGTAGGCTACTTCATTACAATACGATTTCCAGTCACCTTTTTATTTTTATTTTATTTTAATTGATGCAATATGCAATGTATATGAATATTCCATCAATGTGCACAACAATACTCCACCGATACGCATAATTTTAATTGTGTTTTGAAGCAATATTAGTATAATATAATAATATATTGTTTTTTGACAAGAATGATTCATAAATATACACAATTGTATGTGTATATAGATGCAATATTAATATATAATATATTAATATAAAGGCTGTAAGATATTAATATTCCATTAACATGCAATACTTTAATTATTTATACAGATTCAATATTAGTATATATGAAAATATAGGTAAAATATATGAATATTCCATTAATATGCATCATTTTAATTTTGTATATTGAGGCAATATTAATAAATAATATATTAATGTAGGCTATAAAATATGAATATTCCATCAATATAAATCATTTTGTTTATTGATGCAATATTACTATATATTACTGTAATATTTAGCCTATGAGATAAGAATATTCCACACAATTTTAATTGTGTATATTGATGCAATCTTAATACTATATTAATATGTAGGCTGTAAGATATGAATAATCCATTTATATGCACAATTATAATTATGTATATTGATGCAATATTAGTATATAGTGTGTTATGATACATAGGTTATACTATATGAATATTCCAACAGTTTTAATTGTTTATATTAATATATATTAATACATAATAATATATAGGATATAAGATATGAATATTTCATTAATATGCACAATTCTATGTATGTATATTGATGCACAAAAATAAAAATGGAAAGGAAAAAAAAGATTAGAGAGGACAATAAATAATAGCATAAAAGGTGCTTGTCGGGTGCTTATATAGTTGCTGACAGAAATAGCGGTGTGAGTTTCTCTGAGTGTCTCCACGTGCGTGCGTTGCGTTAATTGTGAAGTAAACACACACAGTGTGATGGAGCTGCTGAAGATGCGCGTCTGAAACAAAAGCTCTGAGGTCTGAGGCTCCTCCCTGTGTGTGTGTGATGAGCAGCCGCTCGCTCGTGTAGCTGAATGCGCCGCTCATTGTTCGCTTCGCCGTTCCTCTGCCGTTTCCGCGGATCGATCGATCAGTGATCGGGATTTCTCATGGATCTATCGATGTGAAGACGCTGTCACACGCGGTACGTACATGAGAATAGAGACTGAAGTTGCTTTTTCATGCGACCGCGCGCACGCTGTTTATGATGATGATGATGATGTTTAGAACGATATATTGTTTCTTTCTGTCGCGCGTTACTTTGATCTCAGGCGCGGGGGGCTGGTGACGTCACTCCGCTAAACTTCTCTAATGCATGCTTATAAAGTCATTCATCTTCTGAATGCGAGTGTTGAATATGAGGGTGTGACGGAGAACAAACAACATCTCCGTGCTTTACTGATTTCAAGAATTGCACTCATCAGTAATAAGCGGCTGAGATGGAGATATATGTCATCGCAACGGAATAAATGTGCGGTTGTTGTAGTTCTGCGTGAAGCGCAGGGCTGTAGTTATTCTGATGAAAATGATGCGGTTCAGTCATTTGAAGTTATGATTGAGTATTACTGTATGTCTCTCCAGCTCTGTTTGTCACAGTAACAGGTTCAAGTCTCAGTCATATTAGACTGAAGAAGGTCAGTGTGAAACCTCATCCGGGGGTTTGTGAGGCCGGCCGCTCTCCTGTGACCCGGAGGTCGAGCAGGGTGTGTCCGTTTCAGCGCTCTGCCCGTTTCTACCACTTTATTCCCAAATGAATGCAATCCGACAGACTTCTTGAGCTGAGAGTGTCTGGATGTAACAATGAAACAGCATCTGTTTGGGCAGGACGGCAGCGTTTAGTCTGTCTCAGCGGTGAGCGCTTGGGTTTGGAGGCTCAGAATAAAATAGTGTTTGTTAATCTCATTGTCTGCTGTTGGTTGAGTGTGTTCTCCCTGTGAGATGGCAGGCGGCCACGCGTCCCGACCGAGCCAAGATTCCACGACTATCGGCGCTCTGAATTCACACGGCTTTGTGTTGAGGTGCATTATTTCAGGTGTTTTATCTTGAAGCGCTGTGGTTCTGCCTCAGCCGCTGAGCATCAGTGTCAGTGAATAGCTGCGCTTCAGTCCTCTCTTCAGATGATGTATTACATGCAGAAATACTGAAGATCAGCTGCATTTGTGTAGATGTGGATGTTTTGACCGCCGATGGCGGTATCTTAGAAAGCATGGAGGCCGATAAAAAGCCGATATGTATGATATATCATCACTCTATCTGACTTTTGCTGAAATTAAATCTGTATTTATTTTACATAATATTTACTAAATTATTTAATTTGAAAATTAAATATAAAGAATTGAAAAATCTGTAAAAATAAAGACTTTCCCACTTGCAACATATTGTCCAAACAGAAAAAAAAAGATTGGTTAATGCCGATAAAAAAAAAAAATCCAAATATCGGCCGATATATCGGCAAGGCCGACCACTAATTATAATTCATAGTATAATCATTTGTTTGTGCTGGATTCTCCAATTCTATGATATTGATTAATTTTCTGTGATAAAACCCTGACACAGTTTTGACCTGCATCCTCATCATTATTCAGATTTAATCACGTTTCTATTATTTCACGTCTTTTTGTTAAGGTTAGCAATCAAGTTCATTTTCAGGAAAAGATTAGATAGCAGGGAACGTGTTTTTATTCTGTTCCTGGTGCATTAAAAAGATCATGTTTGTGAAAATGAGTGAATATTAATGATTGAAATGATTGTCTCATTTATCTCCTAGAATGAAATGCAGCTCCGAATCAACATAAAATGGCCAAATTATCCTTATATTGAAATCATGATCACATCATGTAATCATTGCTTTAATGAATATGTGGTATTAATTGCATGAACTGTACATTTATGCCATATGGACATTACTTTGACTCAGTCTCCGATAACACAAAATGAATGAATGGAGCATTTCTACAGCTCTTTTTTATGCACTACTCTTAAATTGTAATGAAGACACATTTGTTTTCTGTGAAGCTGCTTGGAAACAATATGCATTGTGAAAAGTGCTTGAATTGAAGTGCATTGGCGTAACAAACAGGAGAAATGCCGTCCTCTGATGAAGCAGTGAATTATGAGGTGAATTCAGTGTTTTGATGTGATTGTAAGCAGGGCATCTGATGTGCTCTTCCGCACAAAGCCAATGAGAGCGGCATTGAGCGTGACTGATGGCTGTTTGTCACACCAGCGAGCCTCAATCGCACCGGCGTGTGTTTACATTTTCTCTGCGGAGGCCAGGATTCGTTCAGTCTGAATTATTGATGACGGCCAATGAATTGCTCTCAATTATGTTAAAGTAGCACAGCGTAAATCACAGCCTCAGAAATGCTGTCGATAGCTCTCATCTATGATTCACATGATCATGTTTAATGCATGAGCGGCTCTGGCTGGCCACATTACTGAGTAATTGGAACATTTAAGTGGATTATTGTGCGTTTGAAGAAGGAAAATTCACGTTTCTGTCATTTTACATGATAGAAAAACAACTTTTATCCAACTGTTCTTTGAGTTTCAGGTTTTGGACGGGTTTGATTGTTGATGCTCCTATAGAGAACTTTATTAAGAGGTTTAAAAACAGTTTTCTCTTTTAAAATCACTTGTCTTCTGTCACGTTTGTAGATGTTATTAATGGTTTCATTCTGATGATATTGGTGACTTATGGAGAGATTGTGCTCATCCACATGGAAAAATAAAGAGTAAATGTCTGCATGCTGTTAGTAGTGTTTATATTTCAGTAAAGATATTTCTGTTATCATCTCTAGATATTTCAATATCTTTAGTTCTGTTTTAAATTTTAATAATATAAGTATGGTTTTCAGCATGACAGTATTCTAAAAAAGCTGCCCTCGTGTTAAACAAACAAACAATACAATACAACTTGGGTTAATAACAGTGTGCAGACGGTTATTATTATTAAAATTATTGATGCTGCTGTTTGCCTGTTTATTACTGTGAAGCTGCTTTGACCCAAACTGTAAAAATCAGTAGCTTAAGGTCAGGTTTGTGAGCAGAAGTAAGGAAATCTAGTGTTTTTGATTGAATATGATCATTGTGCTCAGTGATCAGCAAACTAAAATCTGAACTCTTCCTTCAGTCGTGCTGTTTGGAAGGAAGTGTTTTGAGCGGGAAAGCAAATCTATAAGTGTTTGTCCTGTAAACACGAGTCTGATGACGACAAACTTCAGCTGGTGTCCGAATGATGAGCTGAATAATCACACACTGATGCTGACAGTGTGTGTGTGTGTGTGTGTGTGTTTTCTCACAGGTTCTGGGAGTTTGTGTTGTCGTTCTGATGAGTGTGTGTGTGTGTGTGTGTGTGTGTGTGTGTGTGGTTTCCAGCGGCGTGAGAGAGAGAGAGAGAGAGAGGGACAGTGCATGTGTCTCGTCTCCAGGCCGGCGTTTGGCACTGCCTCGTTGCTGTTGAGTGTGTGTGTGTGTGTGTGTGTGTGTGTGTGTGGTTTCCAGCGGCGTGAGAGAGAGAGAGAGAGAGAGGGACAGTGCATGTGTCTCGTCTCCAGGCCGGCGTTTGGCACTGCCTCTCTCATCTATTAATCATGGCGACTGCTTTCTTATTCTGTTGCCATAGTTTCAGGCTGAAACACTGTTGGTGTGTGTGTGTGTGTGTGTGAGGGGCCATGGAACGTTACAGACCAGCAGAGCTGCTTAAAGGGGCCACGCTGGACAATCATGTACTGATGATTATTGCTCGTCTCGCTCATCCTGCATTTTAAGAAATAAAAAAACTGAGAAGGCACTGCTCATTTTCTGCCAGATATTTCCTTTAACGCTTGTATTATGTTGCGGGTTCTAGGAAATACTGGTTGGAAAATTAGTGACCTTTTCTTTTTTAGGGTCAGATGTAAACATTTTAAATTGTTCATGTTTTTTTCTAAAAAGAGAAGTTTAAAAAACAGTTCTCATGTTTTTATTAGTTTTTTTGGTTGTAATGTGTGAGAAGTATAGGTTTACTGTTTTTACCTGATTTTATGTGAATTGTACTGAATCCAGTTAGGGTCAGTTTGACCCGCAACATAAAACTTGAACTCAGAATCTGAACATAATATAACAGTTAATGCATAGTTAAAAATACAGGTAAAACACCTGTGAAAAATCAATGCAGAAAATTCCTACATATTAACAGTACATTCTGCTCGATTTCTGAGAGTGTGTGGATCATTTTAATCGCTGGACAAACATGTTTATGCTGCTGTACTCTGGATTCTGTAATTGTCGTCAATCTCAGGCTCTTTAGTTCACCTAAAATGATCATTCTGTCATCATTTACTCTCCCTCGTGTCGTTCCAAACCTGTATGACTTTCTCTCTTGAGTGGAGCACAGAAGTAAATATTTTGAAGAACCTTGGAAACCAAACACTGACTTTCATTATGTAGAATAAAACACTGAGACATTCTTCAAAATATCTTCTTTTGTGCAGAAGAAAGTCATGAGGAACAACATGAGGGCGAGTAAATGAAGATTTGAGCGCTGCCCGTAGATCCTCACCTCGCTGTGGTTGTTTTTAGGGAGTCAGACGCTTTAATCATGAGATATTCTCAACTCTCTGAATGGAGACGTTTGTCATCCCGCTGTGATTTCCTGACCTGAGCTTCTGAACTACAAACACATGAAACGCTCTGAAGCGAATCTGCGTCTTTGAACTTCATGAGATCATCTCTTGAGGAGCAGGTGGAGCTTCTGCGAGCGGCTGTGAATTAAAACATCCTCCGCGTGACATCCACAGGCGCTTTGAAGCACAGAACTCAGTCCCGATCATTTGTCGAACGCTTTTGAAGTGTTACTATTTGTTTAGAACGTTCGGAGAACATTCAAATAGTAACGTTCTCATAACGTGTGCAGAATGATAAAACGTAATGTTCATGTCACCAAGAAAAATGTTCATAATGTAACAGAAATAGCATTTTGATGACGTTCTTAGAACACATTTCTGTTAGCTGGGTCTCAGGCTGATACTCATCTGAAGGGTTTTATCGGTGGATTAGTGTTCGGCATCTCACTGCACATAATCTGACTGATTTGTTTGCGTATGTTTTGTTATTCTTGTTGGCTCTGTGATGAAGCCTTGCCTGCCGTCTGCGAGCATGTAA